GTTACTTTTAAAACTAAGGAAAAAGGGCCGGCCCCATGGCTTAGTGGTTAAGTGCGCACGCTCCACTGCTGGCGGCCCGGGTTTGGATCCCGGGCGTGCACCAATGCACCGCTTCTCCGGCCATGCTGAGGCTGCGTCCCACATACAGCAACTAGAAGGATGTGCAGCTATGACATACAACTATCTGCTGGGGCTTTGGGGGAAAAAAACAAATAAATAAAATTATAAAACTAAGGAAAAAAATTAATAGCCAGCATCTGTTGAATGCTTCCCACTATCAGGAACCATGCTAAGCACTTTATGTGAGTTTTATTAAATCTCACAATAACTGTATCAAGGAGGCGTCATCATCTTTGACTTATAGTCAGCAACTGAGGCTTAAATGAAGTAACCTGATCCCAAGGCAACTGTGTGATCTTCAGGGTTAGTCCACCTCTAGGGCAGGTGCCTAGTCAATGCTATTTGGGGAATGGCCTACGTCACTGTGAAATAAAGGGTAAGGAGCAACAGACGGAATTCTTTTGACATGCTTTTGTAATAAGCATTCCAGTGGACATTAGGTTTCTGTCATAAGCTGAACTACGTCCCCTCAAAATTCATATGTTGGAGGCCTAACCCCCAGGTACCTCAGAATGTGACCGTAAAGAAATAGGGTTTTTAAAGAGATAACTAAGTTAAAATGAGGTCATTGGGGGGGGGTCCCAATCCAGTATGACTGGTGTCCTCATAAGAGGAAATTTGGACACAGACGCACACAGAGAGAAGACGATGTGAAGACACAGGGAGAAGATGGCCATCTACAAGCCAAGGAGAGAGGCCTCAGAGAAACCAACCCTGATGACAACTTGCTCTCGGACTTCTTGCCTCCAGAATTGTGAGAAAATAAATGTCTGTTGTTTAAGCCACCCAGTCTGGGGAACTTTGCTATGGCAGCCCTAGCAAACTGAGACAGTTCCTGAATCACACCTGCTTGCATTCCACAGAGCTCAGAGTTCAGTGACAGTCAGGAAGAGTGCAGGGCTCACCCACACCGTTTTTTGACTGTCAATGACATCTGTTCAAATAAATTTATGTTCCCATCTCACTAGGCAAGAACAATAATTTGTGCATGAATATGTAGAGAATAAGTAGGAGGGAAACAGGAGTGAGTTTAAGTACAGACATCTTATTCCCCTCATCCTATACCCCAGGAAGGTAAGATGTTCCCATGGGAAAAGTCCCCTGAAGTGATTATCTCAGTTCTAATACATACCAGGAGTACACCTTCCATCGGCCAAGCTGATGGTGTGGTCAGAACAAGAGCTTTAATGGGGTGCAGGGAGGGGAGGGGATGAGGCAACCGCAGGACAGAGGATGAAGAAAGAGAAAGACAGAAGAGTGAGATAGATGCTCAAAGGGCAAGGAGCTGGGGGTGGAATGACACACACAGGATGGAGCTGTAGTTCTCTCCGTGGGTGAGGGAAACAAGAACAGCAGAGGGCCCAGAAAAGATTTTCCTTTGCTTCCTCCCCACTCCCTTTCTTAACAGTCAAATCTTATGTGAGTGATATGACAAGAAGAAAAAGAAAAAGTACAGAGATTAGGAGAGAAAAATTGAGACACTTTCCCTGCCCTTCTTTCCTTTTTTTATACTTTTTCTCCAGTTCACTCTATTCCTCACATAGTCCTCTTTCAATATATCCCATATAACAGGTGCCCTCACTGCCTACCAACCACTTGTTTTTGGTCCAAAGAAAGGCAGGCAGTGCAAAAAGTGCAAGTACACATAAATGGTGGCTGACCACAGAGATGACCACACTTTACCACCTCCTAATAACCATACTCTCATAGCATCATAAACTCATCAACCAGTAACATATTTGTACACTGCTTGTAGGAGATAACTTTTGGGTTGTCTGCCAAGTTCAAACCCTCCTGCTCTGACTGCCCCTCCTGCCTAGAGGAGTGGGCCTCTGGAGCATGTTGGAACTTTGTGACCAGGGAAGGCCCTTGGCCCAAGCTGGGCCAAAAAGATTCTCTTTCCTAGGAGTCTGAACTAGATTCACTACCCAATCCTTGATAGCTAGTCAGTCTCCAGTGGTTGCAGGGTACATCAGATGTTGGTTGGTTTGAGTACCATATAAGGGCAGAAATTTTGTCCTACATACATAGAAACAGAGAAAGTCAAAAGAAGAGAAGAATGAAGGAGATGGATAGGGACAAGTGGTGGTCAGAGACCACCTGCCCACAAAAAAGTAATCTCGGATCCTGTACAGTGTCCACTTCTTGCTTGGGTTCCTTATTAAAATTTGTTTTTGCATAAGCTGATAGGTTTGTATTTGCAATCATAAGAGTCTTAATAAAATAGTGATTTATAATTTATTAAGCACTTTCAGGCATATTGATCTCATTTGAGACTCATGATACCCCAGGGGAAAAAAAGAGGGCAGTTATTTTTACTTTTATTTTATCAGTTACAAAGTAAAGGCTCAGGGAACCCTTCCTGGGATGCACGCCCCAGTGAAGTCCTCTCCACGCTGGCTCTGGGTTTGGCTGTGTGACTTCCTTCGGCCAATGGGATACTAGCAAGCTCAGTGACACAAGCAGAGGCTCGATAAGCCCTTGCACATTGGGACTGGTCTTCTATCACCCTGAAAAGATACCCAGGTATCCAGGAAAGAGAGAGAGGACGCAAGGAGAGGCCTTGTAAGATGAAACACATGGAGAGAGATGCCACGTGAAGGAAAACTGCAACACCTCAGGCAAACCCCCAGCCCAGTGCTGCCACGTGAACGACCACAGCCCAGAAGAGAGTAGAAGAGCCTCTTGGTCAATCCACAGGCTCGTGAGATATTATACACTGTTGCTGTTTTAGGGCATCAGCCTTTGGGGTAGCTTGTTATACAGCAATAGATAAATGAAACAGATGGTAAGTAACTTCCCCTATATCCCAAAGCTAATAAATAAAGCTTGAATCCAGGTTTCCTGACTGATTTCAGTGATTTAGTCACTGCTCCAAGATGTGACTGAAATTGAAGAAAAATAACTCAGAAGTTTCATACACTTCATTTAAACAATAGAAAATTAATTTTAACTCAGAACACTCAGAAATTATCTTGTCAGCATGTAAATGAATTAAAAATATATGTAAATGTGGACAGGTAGGAGAGTGTTACTAAAATACTTAGCATGGTTACACAACGTCAAAATGCTTTTCTCTTTTGTATTGCAAGAATTAAAAAACTACCAAAGATAGAATATACAACAATGTTCATAGCAGTATTATTTCTAATAGCAAAAAAGAAACAAACAATCACCCAATGACAGGAAAAAGGACAAATTGTGATATATTCATACAATAGTGTAAATAAGGAACTAAAGTTTCATATATCAACATGGATAAATCTCAAAAATATAAAGTTGAGTGGGGAAAAAAGAAGTGAAAGAAAACAAACAGCTTAAAATCATTTACATAAAATCCCCAGAATACAAACCTTAGCAACATATTGTTTAGGGATACATAATAAAAGCAAGAACGAAAATCAAGGGAATAAGCACAAAATTCAAAACAGCAGGTTTTCCTGAAGGGAAGGAAGCAGGATACACTTGAAGAAAGGCAGAGTGAGGGCTCCAAAAACACTGGTCATGTTTCATTTCTTAAGCTGGGTGGGAGATATATGTGTGTTTGTTTTACAACAACCTATTACCATATATCTGTGATAAACAGCTTTTCATATCTAAAAAGTATTTCACAATAAAAACAAATTAAAAACAACCAAAGAATGTAGCAAGGAAAATTAGATAGTCTCCTGTAATATATGCTTTATTTATAATATCCAGAAATCAACCTAGGGGCCATCCTGGTGGCACAGGTGGTTAAGTGCGTGTGCTCCGCTGCAGCGGCCCGGGGCTCGCCAGTTCGGATCCTGGGCACACAACAACGCACCGCTTGTCAGGCCAGGCATGCTGTGGCGGCATCCCACATAAAGTGGAGGAAGATGGGCACAGATGTTAGCCCAGGGCCAGTCTTCCTCAGCAAAAAAAGAGGAGGATTGGCAGATGTTAGCACAGGGCTGATCTTCCTCACAAAGGAAAAAAAAAAAAAAAAGAAATCAACCTAGCTCCCAAATGCTCAATAATTTTATCTTAAAGGAATAAAAAAGGGAATATTACAGAGGTAGCTATACTCCCAATTACAAAGCTATAATGGTAAAGCCTCCTATAGTTCATAACTCATATTAAAATTGATACCAAAGGAAAACAGATATTTAAATTTAGTGCATAAAATATTTCATTTAGTCTTTTTTAGGACCTTTTGGGACCGGCCTATATAACATCTATTTTCTCACCAACACAATCCTAAACCCAGAGCACAGGTGCCTGTCCTTCCAAGCGAAGGCATGGTGAACGACCTAGACCTTCCATCAATTTGCCTGCACTGGAAAGGACCACACTGCATACTAAGAGACCCATCTTCTTCCCTGGTCAGAGTTCATCGTGTCAGGAATGGACAGCTGACCTAAAGCCAACCAGTCATGGTCTGCCACCTGCCCTACCTCTCCAGCCTTATTCCTACTATCTTCTCTCTTGAAATCAGTGCAGTCGGTATATCTTTCCATCACAGCACCTACCACCATTATCAAATAACTATACATTTATTTCAGTGATTACTCACCGATGTCTGTTTTCCCTCCTAAACTGTAAGCTCCACGAGGGTGGCAACGGGTCAGTTTTTGCTCACTATTGTGTCCTACCAACTATCACAATACCTGACACATAGTAGGCATTTGATAAGTTGTGTTTTTTTTTAAGAGGAAGAAAAGATTGTAATACTATGCCTCCTTTTCTCTAAAGCTTTATTTTTATTTCATTAAACTTATATGGAAATATCCCTACTTCGGGCAGACTCAAAATTAAGGCAAAGGAATCAAACCATAACAGAATCTACATTTATCCTCAAAGAAGAAAATGTCGTAGAATGCCAAATTAAATTTGACAGGATTAAGTTTACAGAAACATACCTGAATGAAGCTGAATTTTCCCGATAACACCTTCTACCAACCCCAAACAAATGGGATTCCAGGCAAGAAGTAGATCAGTAGCTAAAATGGAATAAGACACAGTCATGAGAAAATATTCATCAGAAAACATATTAAAACAATATCTCTAGCAGTATATTAAAAAATTATCAACGTCCCAAAAAAGCAGTTATGAACATCCAGAACTGAATACATTACTATCAAGCAATGTGAAAAAGCATTAAATCTGAGGCCTGAATAAGACTAAGACTAAGACCAGTTAGGGGATTGAGCTGACATTCTGAAACTCTACTCAGATGGGAGTACACTGGCGCCCTGCAGTGGAGGGAACAGGCTGGTACACTACAGGAGGGCAAAGGAGAGGAGGCACCCACAGGCCTTGCTACAGTCAGTCCCAGACCCAAAGACAAGGCCTGAGAAACCACCACAGAGATGTCCACTCACTGGATCACACTCTGGAAATACCCTTTCCCAAAGAAGCTTACACCAAGCGAAGAAATCCAGAAAGCCAGTGCTCTTTTATGTGACACCTAGGGCAAAAACAATAGGAACGGCTTCCCTGTATTGAATGCTTACTGTGTGCCGGGCATCCCAACCAGGGTTCCTCACCTGAACCACAGAACAATGATTTGGATGACTGTTTTCTCAATTCTCCCAAGGATGGCACACAACTGGTACCACTCTAGACGCATAGGAGAGAAGCTAATCCATTACACACAACGGATGCCTGAAGACATGAGGGCTTAGTTATCATGTGGAACCCAGGCTGCAAAAGGCTGTTATATACACGGAGATAAATGCAACACTAGAGGTAGCTCAACAGCTGGAAAAGATTAGCAAGAATGAAAACAATATTTCTCTTAGCAGGAAAGTAAAATTACATTTTAATTATTACCATTTAAATTTTGTTTTGGTGAAATTTATAATCAATCTGTAACTCATGGGTTAATTACAGACTTAACAGTTTGGTCTCCAAATTCCTTTGCATTTTGACTATTGTGTCTTGAACGTCTTTGTTGTTAATGATATATTCAATGGAAGGCAAAAAAAAAGTGGACTTCTTTGTTCTTATTGCAAGAATTAAAGTAAATAAGCAATTAACTTTTTTTGTTAATGTGTTCTACACATTATCATTTCTAATCCTGACAACTGTGTGAGTTGGGTATTCGGGGTACCATTTTACAGATGAGGAAATGCAGCCTTAGAAAAGTAACGTGACCTACAATGGATCAAGGGCAGAGCTGCGATTCAAAGCCAGGTCTGCATGACTCATGGCCTGTGCTCTTAACCTTCCTCCTATAGCGCTTCCCTTAGAAGCTATGCTTGGAACTAATCCATTAGACAATATTTACATTTTAAATAACATGCATTCTTATTATAAAAGTAACACTGAATAAAATTGAAAAAAATATTTTATCTATCCCATCCCACCACGAAGAGATAAGTCATTATTTTGCTACATTTCAGGCCATAGGTTTGTGTGCATACCTAATTGCAATACTACAAATACAGCATTATATGCTGATCTTTTCTTATAACATTTCATGACTATTTTCTCATGTCTTTAAAATACTCTTCAAAATTATAACTTCACAGCTGCATAATTTTCCACTTAATGAAGGACTTCCTCACTCCTGGGCATTTAAGTGATTTCCAGTTTTTCCCTATTATAAAAAATACTGTGATAAATGAACATTATGCAAATATTGTATTTACCTCCCTAATTAATAGCTTTAGGACAGATTCCTAGGAATGAAATTAGTAGGTGAAAACAAAAAAAATTTAAAGCTTCCAAATATTACCAAATTGCTTTCTACCAAGGTTATAACAAGTTAAATTTCAGCCAGAAGCATATGAAAATACTAGTTTTAAAGTACTCGTCAGCATTTAGAATTTCTTTTTTAATTTTTCTAATTTGAGGGCATCCATTGCCTAACATGATGTTTATTTTCTTCTCATTGTTGGTAAGATTAAACATTTAATTATAAAATTGGTTGCTTATGTTTCTTCTTCTACTATGATTTTCTCATTCAAATCTTCTAATGATTTTTCTTCATATTCCCTATTGATTTATGAATTCTTTTTACATTAAGGACATCAACTCTTTGAGATGTTTGCAAATATTTTCACAGTTTTTAACTTTTATACAAATCTATCATTTTTTTCATTACCTTTATGCTTAAAAAGTTGTTCCTTACCCAATATCAAAAGTATTTATTAATTTCATCTCTTTGTTAATTTTTAAAAATCTAACTAACTCTGCTGGAATTCATGTTGGTGTACAGACTAAAAACACCCTGATTTCTTTTCAAATAGGGAGCCAGAATCCCTGTATCAGGCAGGCCAAGTCTCACCATCCGCCACCACAGATGTTCCTGGTCAGGAAAGAGCTCCAGCTACCCGTAACCCTGCACCCTGACCTCAGGTGAACAGACCGTAGTTGTAAGACTCTACCCCTTGGGTACTAAATGAGCTCTAGAAATATGGAAGAAGAAGGAAAAGTTAGAGCTAAAACAGGCAGGGACAGTTACATAGAAGTGGAACTTCAAGCATAAGGAAAGCAGCAAGAAAAACAATGCAGAGGAAAGAAAGTGCCAGGTTTGTTCTGGAATTCGTCCCTTCATTGGAGAAACACTTATCAAGTACCTGTTAGGAACCAGGCACTGTATCAGGCTAAGAAGATATAAAAATAAAGGAGTGAACAGTCTAGAACAGAAGACCTATGGGTATGGTGGAGATTTGAATTGATAAAACTGGAAAAAGTAAACTGAGGCCAACTGTGGAGAGACTTGAATAAAAGACTAATGAGCCTGCGCTTCCTGGACACCACGGCAGGCACATAATGACCTGAGTACAAGGTTGCAGCCAGGGATTTGCTGACAGCATTGAAACAAGGTGGACACTGAGTGTAGGGAATGAGTTAGAAGGTTACTTCAAGAGTCTTGGCTTGAAAGGACATGGAGCTACCCTAGCTTGGGGAGTCAGGTGGGCAGCAGGTGAAGAATGCACAGGAAGAGCTGAAGATGAAACACCTCCAAGGAAGCTATACCAAGGACAGGAAGAGAGTACATCAAAGATGACATGAAACATCTACTCTCTCCTGAGGGGGGAAGCTGGGGACATGGACGAGAAGAGCAAGAAGGAGCAAAGAAGAAAGGAAGGACAGTGTGTACAGCAACCAGGAGAAAGGGGAAGAGAACCTCTTAACTCAATGCCCTTTTGCATCTTTGGCATTTCAAACCCTGTAAATACAGCAGCCATTCAAGAAAATTAGAATTTAAGTTAAACTAGGAAAAAACTATAAAGATGACCAAGTTTTGTGGTCTAATGACTAAAAATAATAGTCACTGATAATCTTTGAGGTCCAGAGAGAGAATCAGCTAAACCCATTAAGACTGAGTTCATGATGGGATGATCAAGGAGATATGTCTAGATAAGAGAACCAGAGGAGATATTAAAGGAGGAAAAGAAAACAGAAGATGATGAAAGCAAAAGCACAGGTATAAAAGTTAACCTTGGAAAGGAAGGGTACTACTTTTTTCTAAGACTGGAGGAAAAGATGAAACGCTAAATATAGAAATGGAGAGGAGAAGCAGATGAATGTATCAGATGGTCTTGACTCAGTAAAAATAGGAGTCAAAGTTATCTTTGCTTCAGCAGGGGGAACGAGGGGAACAGAGAGGCAGCAGAGGCTTGGTATGGTGAGAGGAATCCAGAAAGTCAATTTGTAAATGTTCTATGTGTGCTTGAAAAGCACGTATATTTTTTTAACTCAGTATTTTCAAGAAAAAGGTCAATCCATTAATGGGTCATGAAATCCATTTTGCATTTTGTATAAGATCAGCATTAACAGCAATGAAACAGAACAGAAAATTGAAAAACTGCACCAAGTAAGAGGACACATTTCATTAAACTTTTGTTTCTGGTACATACATACATGTATGTGTTCACCAGGTCATGATTTTAAAAGTATTTCTTACTATGGATCTCAGACACTTGAACACTTTAACTTAACACTTAAATTGAACATTTAACTTTGGGGTAAGGGCTCATTATATCAACTTTGTTTATTATTTTGTTCAATTCCTCTATGTATTTGCTAATTTTTTTGACTGCTTAACCTAAGAGTTTTTGAGAGAGGGCTTATTTTTTTTTTAATCTTATGCTTTGTGTATTTTTTCCCCCATTTTTTCCTTCTTCATTTTTGCCTTACATTTTTTGAGACTATGTTGTCAGTCAGGCATATACAGATTCAGGATTATTATATCTTCCTAGCGAACTGCTCTGTTTATCAGGATGTAATAACTGCCTTTAATGCTCTTTGCCCTAAAGTCTAGTTTGTCTAACATTAATATTGTGAAAGAAATACATTAGGCATAACACGGAATAAATATGAACATTGCTAATTCAATCGTATAACTTCTCCCACTCCCCACAGCCTTAGGAACAAAGTCCAAATTCCTTGGAAGGCTTGTAGACCTTGCATGGGCTGGTCCTGTCCACCCTCCTCCTGCCTCCCCACCCCCAGCATCCTGGTCTTCCTTCAGTCATCTAGAAGTGTGCACAGGCTGGGCCTGGAATGCTCCTCCCCACCCACTTCTGCCTGCTCTTCATTCCAGACTCAGAACAAGGGTCACGGGTGTTCCCTCACACATTCCCCACTCCACCCACCCAGTAGAACCCATCAGGATCTCTTTTGTGGCCCCAGTGAACCCTGCTCATATTTCCATCATAGCACCTTATTTTGGTTTAATGCCCCTAATTATTGACTTGCCTGTCTCCCTGACTGAAAAGGAAGCTCATTGAGTCTCATTCAGCTTTATGTCCCAGTGCAGGGTACACAGCAGGCTCCAAAATGCTAAATGGACGAATGAACCTTTGACACGGAATGGAGAGGCAAGTTGAAGTCAGATAATTTGCATTGAATCATGTTAGAAGGGTTCACTATTTAAAGTGGCAAAGCTAAAGTCACCTGCTCTATTTCAGATAAAGGCATCAGGGCTGGTAGAAGCAAACTGACGGTCCAATACTACACAGCTTGTCAAAATGAAAATACCATTTCC